GGCTCCTGGGTCTGCCTTTAATTTATTTTTAGGAAGGATGTGGGCAAAGCCTGCAGCTGTGGCCAGCTGTCCTTCTGCTGGGTGTCCACCCCCGTGCTGTGTAAGCCCAGGAATGTCCCTGGTTCCCTCTCTGGCCGCAGCTGCTCTGGGATGTTCCCTCCAGACACACCCGTGGGGTCAGTGTCCTGGTACACTGTCCTGCACCCCAAAAACACACCACAAGCCCCTCCTTGGCAACACCTGGATGTTTTGAGCCACAAGAACATCCCTGAGAGCTTGAAGGACCTTTTTTTATTGCTCTCCCCAGCCTCCAGCTCACACAGGCAGCCTGTTGGTAGTCCTGCAAGCCCAGCTCTCGAAGGTCTTGCATGAAAACAAAACAGAGAATGAAAACAAAAAAAATCCTCTTTTCTTTCCAGGCTCTCTCTTGCTGCAGCATCTCCACTGTGAGCCCCAAGCCTCTAATTTCTGAGTGGGGGGATGATGGCTGGGGCCAGACAGGGCAGCTGTGATGCTGCTTGATAAACAAGTGAAGCAAAGTGAACATCACCATTGGCTGTGCTCAGCCAGGGAGGGGAAGCCTGGCTAGCAACAGCTTTGGGAAGCATTAACAAAGGGGGATTGAGGATTGGAGAAAACAAATGGAAGGGGGCTGTGAAATGGCAACTCTGCATCTTCTCTACACGCTCTGCTCCTCCCTCCCCTGGAGTTGCCATGGATTCTCTCACTGCTTCCCACCTGTTGGAATCCGTGGTATTGATGATCCCAAAATTGTAGAAAGTCTCTGTATTTCTGCCCCACTGCCAAAGCAGAAGCCATAATTCGTCTGTGCTGGTTTCAAGGTTGTTTATTCTGTTTATCTCTAACATGTTCTGCTGCCCTGCCGCAGCTCTGTCCTGCAGGGCAGCGTGTGGGGCTCTGCCCTCAGTGGGATGGTACAAACATTAAATACCACAAACTACCTGTGCTGGATTTACAATAACGTGCCAATATCTGTCACCTACGTTGGACAGTGTGTCCCCAGCCTGAACCAACAGAAAAATGCCAACACCACAGTGAAACATGGAGGGCATGAAGAAGGAGAAAAAGGACAAGACACACCCAATTTCCTCCATCTTGTCCCCTCTGAACCCCTAATCTAAAAACCTAAAATTTTACTTTTGCACCCGTGCCACACTTAATTATTACTTATATCAAACACTCAGAGCTTGTAATTCATCCTGTAAGATTGAAAACTCTTTTCCATGGACAGAGATCACAGACAGTGTCTCTGGGGACTCTGTCCAGGGGGGTTCCTGACCCCTGCCAGGGTCCCAGGCCTGCCAGGGCAGCCAGAGGGAAGCCCTGGATTCCCACACCCACCTCCCTGTGAGTCCCCTGCCGCTGTCTCTGGGCTGTCTCCTGCCTGCCACCTCCTCCCAGCCTGCCCACACCGCCCAGCAGTGTCCTCAGCCCTGCCACGAGATGCCTCCCAGACCTGTCTCACCCTCTCATGTCCACCTGTGAGCAACACAGAGCCCCCTCCCCATCCTCCAGAGAGGAAATCCTGACTCCAGCCCCGTGTTTTCCTGAACAAATCATCACACCCCAAAACAAAGAGCAGCCAGGGTCAGGCAGCACCATGAACATGCAGAGCACAACAATGAAAACCAACCAAAACAACAAGATGTGTCCTTCGTAGCAGCCCCAGTCCCTGCACTCTGCTCCCAGAGAGCACCAGCCTCCTCCCACAGGAAAACCCCACAGTGGTGATCCCACAGGGATACCCTGTGATGCTGCTGGACATTCATTTACTGCACTTTGGCCAATTCATCACTGTAATCTCTGCTAGAGCCACTGATCTGATTTACCCAGGAATGGCATCTGCTGCTCGGAATCAGTCTGGATTCATTTCCACTTGCCCAGCGACAGCATGGGTGTGGTTTTTTTTAAGAAAGAAGAACCACAAGCATCATTAAATTAACCATCCTATCCTCCTATTTCTCCCAAACAAGATTAATTCTGTTTTGCTCAGGTCTGCCTCGCTACCACATTCTCAGAGCATATTGTCTGAGCTCCTGCCTCCTGAGCATGTGCACCAGAGCTCTCCCGTGTTTCAGAACAAAGAGCAGATTCCCTTTGTTGTCCTGGAGGAGCAGCATGTAAGAGATCAAGGGCTGGTTCCTGCCTCACTGAGCTTCCCGTGCTCTGCCTGGTTCCAGGCGCCCAGACATGTGGGATTTGTTGTGATGGGCAGGGCTGTGTGGAGAAGAGACAGGATTGTTTCTTCCCCAGCTCCCATGGTGACAGCAAGGCAGAAATCCCAGCACAGGTTTGAGCTTGTTTCTGGCTTAGGGCCAGTGCCAGGCTCTCCCGACGACCCATCCAAACCCCTGCCCTAAGCTGCTGTGTCTTTATTGTTATTTAATTTGGGTCACATTTGAGAGCACATCCCTTTTTTTGATTTTCAGCTGAAAGGCAGGCTGTGCTCCCTTAGCACCAAGCAGAGCCCTGCAGTTCAGAGAGCTCGTGCTGCTACAGAGCTTCACCTATCAGCAGGAGACACATTTGTACAGGGTTTAACAGCAGAGAGAGAACAGCAAGCCGGGCTTAGGCAGCTGCACTTGCCCCCTCTTTAATGCCTGTACTACCAAGCAGTGCCTGGGGAATTCACACACCAGGCATCAAAACTCTGGGAAGAGCACGGGAACAGCACAATGGGGAGTGGGATGCTTTCCAGGATCTGCCTGTTTGATCACCAGGGAGATGTCAGGGCTGGGCAGTGAACATATGAGAACACTTTCTATTTCCATCCTTTAATAGTGTCACACAGGTTTGGATCAAAAACATCCCCCTTCATTTAACTTAAAACAGGATGAAAGAAACAGGGGGAAAAAAAATCTGCAAGAGCAGTTTTGTTGCAAATGTGGAAACAGGCAAATGGGAAAAACCAGCAGGAATTAAAATCCACTGAGTTTTTCCGGTTATTTCAACAGCAGCCTGTGCTTCAGCAAAATCTCTTTCCAAAGTCAGGGTTCAGCCCATGCTGTGGGACCCCCTGTCACACCACAGGGCTCAGAGCCACCTGGACCAGAGGAAGGTGTCCCTACCCATGGCAGGAGGTGGAAAAAGATGAGCTTGAAGGTGCCTTCCAACCCAAAGAATTCTGTGATTGAAGAGCAGCTGTTCCAGGGGCTGTCCTGGCACCCAGGTCACAGATGCTCAGCAGTGACATCGTGGCTCATGCACCAGCACTAATGTGTCCCACTCCTTCAGCTCCCCACACACACTCTGAGCCTTTCCTCTTGCCCTCTCTCTTCCCACGCCACAGCTTCTGCTGTCTCTGAGGCACTGGGGAGGGGATGGAGCTTGTGAAGAGATCCAGGCAGGGGCTGGGAGCTGGGCTGGGTGTCACTGTCCCACGACCTGAGGGAAGTCCCTGTCACAGAGCTGAGGGGCTCTGGACTGCATCAGCTCTGTGCCCTGAAGAGCCCCAGCATGATGCTCAAAGAGGGAACAGCAGAGCCTGCTCTGATGGGGCTCATTTACTGCCTTCTCACAGCAAAACAATTACAGCAGCTGTGGTGCACCTCTTCATTAACAGCACTTTGTTAATTGTCATTTGAACTAGAGCAGAAATGCTTAGATAGATTTTCCTTGATTAAAATGTTGTCAGTGATGGGGAGCTTAACAGACCTCTGAGAAAACTATTCCAGCTACAGCTTTGTTTTAAAGTCCAAGGCCAGCTTCTACTATGAACACTTTATCTAATTACATCAAACCCTCACTCCATTTTAGCTTTATCAGCTGGAATAGCAAAGTTTAATCACTTCAACAAGTTGGCTACAGCAATCTCTTAATTTTCTGATAAGATAAATTATTGAGCCAGTCCCAGGGAAGGAGTCAGGCACACAGCTGCTGCAGATGTTTAATTGCAAGCTCTGACACCAAAATCCAGCATCCACAACTCCCATGTCACCATTTTAACCTCCACAGGTACTGCCCAAGTGGCCTCCAGGAATGACAAAGCACAGGGATACAGCACCTGAGCCAGGCAGATGAGGAAGCACATCACCCAGATTTACTCCTGATTATTCAGAGAGTATAACCCTCAGGTATGCCCCAAAAGATATAATCTTTTCACATATAAATTATCCTGGAGCCAGTCTCCTCATACATAGCAACCTCTGGTTGGGGTATTCACAGAGAAAGGTGGAATTCAGGTAAAGCTCTCTCTTTCAAGGGAGTTCACCCTCTGAAGGGGATCCCTGTCCATGAACCAGGAGAGAAGATGGGAGAGGCAAAGAACAACATTTTGTTGTCAGTGGTCTCTCGCTGTGGACCAAGACCAGCAAACCTCGGTGGGCCAGAGGCACAAGAGCCCCAGTCAGGAGCAGGGCACTCACTTGGGAGGTCTCTGCTCTGCTGCTGGGGCTTCTCTTCTGACCTCACACACACCCCACAGAGAGGCGGTGGAATCTCCCTCACTGGGGATATTCCAGAACTGGCTGGACACAATCCTGTGCTGTGAGCTCTGGGGTGACCCTGCTGAGCAGGGAGGTGGGACGAGGTGAAGCTCTGTGGTTCCCTCCATCTAACCCATCCTGGGGTTTTGTGAGCACACCTCAGCACCACAGAGCTCAAGGTTCAATGGGAAACTCCAAGGAAGTGATTTCCAGTGGCCTCCATGAAGGGAGAGGAATTAAGATTTTTGACTCAGGAAGCAATTTACATGCTCAGAATCTGCTTTAGCAAAGAGGCCTTTCTCTGTGAAACCCATTGTCCAGTCCTCTATCTCCCAACTTCATCTGGAGTACCTTCCAGTTCCTGAGGTGCAGACAGCAAACCCAGACACACCACAGCCAAGAGCAGCTGTCACACCCCCACCAAACCCAGCTGACACAGGAGCAGCCCTATTTCTGACTCCACCAATGACCACTCATGGGCTTTGCAGCTCTGAAAGCGGCATACCAAGAAAAGAAAACTTCATCCCACAGATAAATGAAGAAAGAGCCACTTACCCACTTGTTCCAGGTCTCTGGGTCTGAGAGAAGCGCCAATCTGTGTTAGGCTGAGCTTGCTGCAAAGAAAAAGAAGAGTTTTAATACCTCCATTCTTGCCTTTGAAAATGAAAGTGAACTGATCCTGGATTATTTCAGCCTGGAATATCAGCATGTTCTGTCCAAGAGAAGCAAATCAATTAGAACAAAGAGAAAGATCCCCCTCCCCCCTTCTTGAGTATTTCTGAAGCAGCATGAATACCAAAAAGCATGACAAAAACTGTTCTGAGAATAATCTTCCAAAGCAGCTCAGGAAACCAGGCTGTGAAAGAAATGAAGCATGAAATAAACTGATAAGGGCATGAATTCAGCAGGAGCAGTGGTACCACAGTAATGAGCTTGGAGGAGGAAGGGGGGTGTGAGGGGGTGGCAGAGTTAATTGATACTCAGAAAGATGCTCTTAATACTCTAAGGTAAGATGGTAACAGACCTTCCTCTCTCCTTCTTCTGTCCTGAAAAAGGCCTGCCTGAGACATTGTTTTTATGCATGGTATTTGGATGACTTTTCCTAGCTGCTGTGGCCTTGGAGCACTACAATATTTTTCTGTCCACAGAAAAAATGAATAAACTTCCGACAGCAAGAGGAAAAAGCATTATTTGTTTAGGAGACACAGTAACCTTCAGACACAGCAGCACACTTTGCAACCTCATTAATAAGCCCCCATATCACTCTCTGCTCGTGTTATTTTACAACCAGACAATGAACATTTTGTAAATAAGGAAGGACGTGGAGCAAGCTTGTATATTCCTGTTTGAATCATGCCTTTGTGGAAAGCGCTAAATAGCAGGACTGTTTCTGTCGGGAAAACACACACACTTCCGAAAATCATGATCATCCTAATGAACTCCAGAGTGATGACATACTACCTGGAAAGGACAACACTTCCCTCAGATATTTTAGGAATGAGCAGTTCATAGTCCCTACACAGTGGAACATCAGTTTTATAGGATTATTCTGCTTGTACATGCAATTACTAAGGAGAAGTGAAGATGAGTAGAGCTGACCTAGATTTTTATTTAGTAGATGTGCTCTCACTAATTTCTCTGCAGCTTTGATGATACTCATGAAAGAAGATATTAGAATAAATTACTCCCCTAAAATAGATGCCCCACTGGTCCCCATGCTGAATGCAAATGAAGCTGTTTAAAGACTTGCCCTCCAGATTTCAGATACGCATTTTTGCACACGCTGACACACAATAGTGCACTAGATAAGCCCTTCTCAATATTTTGAATAGCCCTTCCATGTTTTGAATTCCTGTTGTAATTACCATTTTCAAATTTAGGGCAGGCATTTGTGACACAAAATTGCTTTCCTTTTTATATCCCAAAATTATAAAAGCTCCAGCTAAACACAGTCACCTACATCTATATTTAGGCATCTGAGTACAAACAGCTCAAGTTTTCAAAGCTTGCAGCTCCTCAGCCTCTGCAAGCCCAAGGGCACATAAGGTCACCAGGATCTTTGTGAATAATGTCACTCCTGACATTTCAGTATTTTAGTGCTGAATACTGAATTTAGCTCCTCGCTCAACATGACCAAGCTGGAAAATGATCCCTTGCCGAGGCACAGTCAGTAATTAATAACACTTGGGGTTTGAGAAATGAAAAATTTCTACAACACACCTCTAAAACTGAGCAAAAGAAACACAGGCAGACTTTCCTTTCAGATAACCACCTCCGCACCACAGCTCATGTGCAGGTAGGAAAATTGGGTTAAACAGAACCAAGAAGTTAAACCCCCAGAAAATCTGTTTCTTACCACACTAAGAATCACTTTAAATAGAAACAAGTACGAGCGGGGCCAAGGGGAAACTCTCCACTGCTACAAACACAGAGTCTTTGATTCTATAACGCTGCTCAGCCCCTTCCCCCACCTCCACCAAGCCGAGCCAAAACTTTCACCTGCCACCTCCCAGGAGATGAGAGTGACACATGTTCCCTGAGGCCACCGTCTTAGGAGGAAGGACAGACAGAGAACAGCCAAGTGGTCTGGATATGACAAACTGTTGCACCCAGCAGAGAGCACAGTAAGAAACAGCCAACTCTTACCCCATCGCAGGGACTCGCTAAGGTGCTGGTCACCTGCTCATAGGCAGCCACGGTCTCCGCAGTGCTAGAATGGCTGAAGGGCTTTACAAAGAGGAAATCGCTCTGCTCGGACATGGGCGAGAAACAAGAGGTGTAATTCTGTGCCTGGGAGGTCAAGCCCGCTCCTCCCACGTCCAGGTACTTGATGAAGCCATCTGGCTTCATCTGCCCTCGGAAATGGGAGGCGGGCTTGCGGCCAGTCCCTCGGCAGCAACCCACAAAGGTCCAGCCGGCACTGCCAGCTTTGAGACACCGGGCAGCCACCAGCCCAAACATCACACAGGACACGAGGGAGATGGACACCAAGGAGATGATGAGGTAAAGAGTTAGGTTGGTATCCTCGGAAGAAGGCTGGGGGAGGTCCAAGGACTTGGAGAAGTCCTGCATGCCGTTTTCCTCCGGAGAAATGATTATTACCACAGAGGCCGAGAGGGACGGCGTGCCATTGTCCCTCACTTCGACCACCAGCCTGTGGGAATCTTCTGACTCCCTGAGAGCCTGTGCAACCCTTATCTCTCCAGAGCGGCGTTCCACTTGGAAAGGCAAAGCCTCAGCAGACTCCTGCAGCTGGTAGGACAGCCAGGCATTATGGCCACTGTCAGCATCAACTGCTACAATTTTAGTTACCAAATAACCAGGCTCTGCCAGGGCCGGGATGGCTTGGTGGAAGGCAGAGCCCTTGGGGACAGACGGGTAGACAATGTTGGGAGCATTGTCATTCTCGTCCAGGACAAACACATGGACCACAGCAGTGCTGCTCAGAGCAGGAGACCCAGCATCCTTCACCTCCACAGGCACCTGGAATACCTTGTCCTGCTCGTAATCCAGAGCTCGCACAGTGTAGATGGTGCCATTGTCCTGATCTATTCGGAAGTAGGTTGAGATAGGTGCATCCTGCATCCCGCTGTCCAGGATGGAGTAAGACAGCTTGGCATTGCTACCCTCATCAGGGTCTGATGCTGACACTGAAAAGACAGAAGTTCCAGGGAGGGAGTTTTCCTGAACGTGAGCTGTATCAAAAGGGCTGGAGAAATTCGGTGCGTTATCATTCACGTCAGCAATGCGGAGATAAAAGGTTTTTTGTGTGGCCCTCGGGGGGGACCCTGAATCCACAGCCCTCACCGTGATATTGTATCCACTGGCCTTCTCCCGATCAAGGGGACCACTGGTGACCAGTGAGAAATGCTCTTTAAAAGATGACACTAGTTTAAACGGGAGCTCTTTTGCTATCTGCAGACGGACCTGCCCGTTGTCACCGGAATCGCTGTCCTTCACACCAATGAGGGCGATCACAGTGCCTGGGGCTGCATCCTCCTGCACTGGGCTGGAGACAGAGGTCAGCACGATCTCAGGGCTGTTATCGTTGATATCAATTAATTCCACTCGCAGGTGACAGTGGCCTTCCATGGCTGGGAATCCCTTGTCCCTGGCTCGAACCGCAATCTCGTAAGCACTGGATTCCTCATAATCCAGCGGGGCTTTGGTTCTGATCTCCCCTGTACGGGCATCTAAGGAGAACAGTTTGGTGAATTTACCGGGTGCATTATTGCTGGTTTTGAAAGAATATTCCACGTCCCCGTTGGGACCTTCATCCAGGTCGGTGACATTCAGCTTGGTGACCAGAGTGCCCACTGGCACATTCTCCTCCAGAAGCACCTTGGATATGGGTGGGTCACAGACAGGAGGGTTGTCATTTGCATCCAAAACATGGATGGTAACCCTGGCAGTGCCAGATTTCACAGGATTCCCTCCATCCAGGGCTGTCAGTGTTAGATGATGAACAGGCACTTTCTCTCTATCCAGTGCTTTTTCAAGTACAATCTCGGGCATTTTAACACCATCTCCTCTCACGTTGATGCTCAGGGCAAAATGCTTGCTGGGGCTGAGTTCGTAGGTGGAGATGGAGTTGGAGCCCATATCCGGGTCTTCCGCTACCTCCAAGGGCAGCCGAGTGCCAGGGTTGGCTACCTCAGTGATCTCCAACACCACCTCTGGCTTGGGGAACTGGGGCGCGTTGTCGTTCACGTCGAGGACATCCACCTCAACACGGTGGAGCTGGAGGGGATTCTCCATGACGAGTTGGAGGTGCAGAGAGCACGTGGGGCTCTGCCCACACAGTGCCTCCCGATCCAGCCTGCTGTCCAGGAGCAGCACACCTGCCGCCAAGTCCACCTGGAAGTGCCGCTGCCCACCCTCGCTCACCAGGCGCAGGTTGCGGGCGGCCAGGCTCCGCACCTCCACCCCTAAGTCCTTGGCCAGGTCGCCCACAGAGAAGCCCGGCTGGCGATCCTCGGGCACGGAGTAGTGGAGCTGAGCGCAGCTGGGAGCCGGCAGGCAGGAGAGGGCTGCGAGCAGCAGCGGGAGCTGCCATGGCAAACTCTGTCCCGCGAGCATCCCGTGCCGGGTGTGCGAACGGAGCAGCGCGGAGAGGAGCGGCGGCAGCTCCGCGCAGCCTCCCCCTCCTCCCCGCCCCCGCAGCCGGCCCCGGCAGCCGGAACCCCTGCGGCCCGGGGGCGTCCGAGCGGGTCGTGCACGGAGGAAGCCGCCGCCGGAGCCGCCGGAGCCGGACAGGGAGGGATGGAGGAGGCGGGGGAGGGGGCGAGCGCAGCCCCGCCGGCTGAACCGCTTCTCGATACGCAAAGACACACAAAGTCGGCGAGCGGAGGGGATGGACCGAGTGACAGTTTTACGTCTCTCCACAGCCCCCTCCTCCTCCGCCTCCTCCTTTTTCTCTCCCTCCTCCTCCCCTTCTCCATCTCACCGCCTTCCCCAAAATACGCACGGCGTAGCCCTCCCCTTCCCCCGCTGCCGCCACTCCGCCCCCGCAGCGCCGGGAGGGCGCCGGGGACTCCCGGCAGCGGGAAACCCGCTCCGCCCCGCCCCGCCCCGCCCGGGGCTGGCACCGGGCACCGGCGGACACCCCCTCCCC